TTCACTCCCACATCATTCTCTAGTAGGAGATAAGAGATCTCCAAGATGTGTTCTGGGGCTGTGATGTTGATACATCTTCAGAAAGCTGCTCTGTTCTTTGGGATGCTCCAGCCGCTGAAGGGCTGGCTGTCAGGGACTCCCTGAAACTGTCCCCTGACTTTGGCTGGAGCTGCAGCACTTCAGCACCTTAAACTACTTCTCTGCTACTTAATTAAATGATGCCAGAGTCCATTCATTCCCAGACTTTAAGGCTGAGTTGTCAGTACTCTCCAAAGCACATCTGTGATCCTTCAGATGTTTCCCAGGCACAGCTTGGAAGCCAGCAGAGCCTGGAGACCATTCTTGGTAGACACTGGAGATGAAACTGCCTTATTTTGGATGATGAGGAAGTTCAGTAGCCTGGAAGCATCTCATGCTGGCTGGCCTTGGTGCCAGAGCACAGACCTGGGCATGTCTGAGACACTGTTCTGGACATGGTCTGGGTGTCTCCAGCCGCCTGTCCTTAGGATAGAAGGCTCTTTTGTCTACAGAGTGTTTGGAAAGGATTTTATGGTGCTTTAAAGGTCAGTGCTGGAGCTGCTCTTAACTCAGGATTAGACAGTGTAGCTTGGTGGGAGCTGGCATGGAAGGAACTGGGTAAACTCACTTGTCTGGCTGCTCCCTCATACACCAGGGAAGGAAATATCTGCATTGGTAATGTGCTTACCTGTGTTTCGTTCTGGCCTTCTGACCACTGACAAAGTGAACTTTTTAACTTGTTTTATTCCTGATAAGTGATTTATTCACCTCATTCCTTTCTACCTGGCCCCATGACCCCACAGACAAGTGCTGAATATTGTACTTTATTGGACACTGCAGAAAATCTTGAGCCCACCCTGTTGACAGTGGGATATTGGGAGGCATAATTCATCCAGCTTCAGATGAACAGAAGAGTCCTCCAGGGAGAGTATCCTCCCTACCTCATTCATTACCTTGTCACTGGCTGAATCCCTGCAGTTCATCTTTGTGCTTTGTCATTTTCCTGGGAGTCCTGGCACTTCACTTTTACCTCCAGATGAAGGGAGACCAAAGCAGAAACCCCAAGCACATCCCTCCTAGCTGCCTTCTGGAGCTCTCTCTGTCTTCCCATTGCCAGGGTCCAGTTATAGCCATGTCACCTCTGGAATGAAGAGACTCAGGGTGGGTCTGGCTAGCCACAGTTTTCACTTGGAAATCCCCTGTTTCTAACCTTGTAAGTAGCCCCAAAGGTATGTGGGGCTGCTAAAATTAAGAGTCTGACCCAGGACTGGGACAGGTGACATGACAGCTGCAAAGTGGCCTTTGCAGAGGTTGTTAATCTAACGAAGGGTGATTGAGCTGTGTCAGCCACACACACATATCACAACTGCAGTAGTGCCTGCTGGGGGTGTGATCTGAGACCCCCTCTCTCAGTGCAGGGACCCCTTCCAAGGGCTGTGTCCAGCATGGGCACAGCCTCAGCTGTGGGGCCGTGTGTTGGGGAGGTGGCAAATCTGGGTTTGGAGCACTCTGTCCTGGGTGAAAGAGCACTGCAGCCAAGTGACACAGAGTGCTTCACAGAAATAACATTTCTTGGCTCTGTCAGAGAGGTGTGAAAAATTCAAGCTGGTGTTTGCACTGCTCTGTCCCTTCAGGGCTCTTGACTCTTCCCTAGAATTTTGCTCAGTCATCTCATCTCATCTCATCTCATCTCCTTTCCCTTCTCAGCTCTCCAGAGCCATGGCTGCAGGAGTGGCCCACACTCTTTAAGCAGGTTTGTGCTCATACACATCTTCTTCCACTCAGGTGCTCCTCTGACTCATGTAATTCCTTGCTTCCAACTGTTTTGTGCCAGCCTCCTCTGCAGCCCAAAACTTGGCTCTCCTGCCACTTGGTCTCACTATACTGAAACTCTGGGACATATTTTGGTGTCTCTACCCAAATATAGGCACAGGGGTGCAAACCACCTATGCTTTCAAAGCTCCAAATGGAGCTTCACACAGTGAATTGGGATGGGGCAGGTCCCACCAGGGAGGGCCCTGTGTTCCCAAAAGTGGATGCATGGGAGAAAGGGTGGATGAGAGGACAAACCGTGGTGTCAGCACTGGGAACAGGCAATTGAGAGCCAGAGGGCTCAACTGTCCTCCCCAATCTCACACAGGGAACCCGTGGCAAATTGAAACAGCAACTCAGACTTCTCATGTCTGGATCCCAACCACAAAAGAACAGCTTTTGGTGTGATGAATGAGGAGAAAGCCCAGCACATGTGCTTTATCAGCTGTCTCTGTCTGGGACAGAGCGGATCTGGCCCCACACAGGACGTCCTGGGGCAGTGTGCGTGGGAGATGGTGTGGGCTGGGTGGGAGGCACCGGCCACTGGCAGGGACACATGTGACTGGTGACAGGCAGAGGAGCTGCCCCTTTTTGTTCACAGGCAATTTCAAGGTGACTTTGAAGTGGTCTGTGGGATTTTGAGCAGCTTTGTCTGATTTCTGAGAAGAAACTTAAAGTGTCTGCCAGTGGAGACTCCGGAAGTGACATGATATGCCCAACAACAAAGCTCCCAAAACAGATCCCCTGTGGATGTAAATCAGCACCATCCCCTTGGTCTCAGCAGAGCTACTCTGGCTCCCATCCTGTGCTCCCAGCCATGCTCCTGGGCGGTCAGCAGCACTGGAACAAATTCAGGTGTAATTGCTTCTCACAGGAAAAAAACCCAAAATTGTAAGGAAAGGCAGCTAGCTTAGTGAGGACCAATCTAGGTCTCACTGTTTTCTTTTCCTTGAAGGAAAGCAAAACTGTGATGCAGAGGCAGCAGGACAGGAATGCAATAAAACAATCAAATAATGGTGGAAAAAGCTTGCCATCTCACAGTCTTCTTTCCCCTATGCCCTCCTGCCACACAGCAGCTATCCAAAGAGACTTGAAGAAAACCAGAGGGGATGGCTGCCTGAACAGCCTTTGAAAGAGCCTGGGCTAGTTCTCACCATCATTATGTTGGGTTTTTTTCACTAGTGCTACTCCACTGATTTTCACTGCAGTGGCACAGCTGTGAAACAGGCTTAATGTAGTGGAGAATTAAACCTTATGTATCTGTATTTGTTTTTCAGAGCTGTGCTTTTCCTACAGGGGAAAAAAAAAAAAAAGTGCCTCGAGTTTAAAGGTAAGCTCCAAATCTTCACCACACCATGAAGATTTGCAGATATAAATCCCATTTAGATGACTTTTATAAACCACTGAAGTGCTCCACAGCAGTAGGATTTAACCTTGGGATGTTCACTTGCTGTAATGTGATTAATGAGCCTTTCCCCATGCATAGCAGATATCTAAGCAATTTTTTGTGTATGGAAGTGGAACAATTGTCCAGCTTTACGCAAATGAGGAGCTACTTCAGTGACTGCCCTGTGAAGAGACTTCAGTTTCAATGGGCTTCAAGATTGCACTTTTGTGTTAAGTGGAGCTATGATCTTTTTCCAATGAGTGTTGCTATGCAGGGCCAATTTGTGACGTCCATTATTCTAAAATAAGTAACTTCTGCACAGCAGAAATATGCTCCACTTGCACTGCTAATCTCTCACACAAAGGCGTGTTTGGAAGAAAAGTTATTTATTGCAAGTAATAAATGCAGGTTCTCAAAAGCATTTATAACTTAGTTTCCAGAGCACTCCAGTTTGAAATAATTTCCTTTCAATTTTCTATATTTTCAATCTCTTTCCTGGCTGTTTTAGACCATATATTGCATACTTAATTATTCTCCGAAGGAGAATCTCATCCATTGAAAATGGGATGTGCTTAACAAAATTCTTCACGCAAGAATCTTTTCTTCAGGATTCAACTATGACCTGTTATAGAAAGGGAAACGTGACTGTGTTAAATATGAATGCTGTGAGGAGGTCTCCTGACTCAACTACAAATGCTTAGAGATCTCACCTGTGTAGTTTATGAGCTCTTCTCAATCATTGATATAATTGTCCTTTAAATGTCCTCTAGTGGAAAATCCAAACTGTAGTTAACACTCACCCAGTTTTTCTGAAATTACAGAGAGCTGGGGTGCAATGGGATCTGCAGTCAGCTCATCTGGTTTTTTATATGTTGTCTTTCCCTCTAGATAAACTGCATCACTAAAAACAGAATGGTTTAAATTTGTCCCAGAAGGACACAGAAACCTTAATTTCATTGGAAACCATGTGAGTTACCAGCTACTGAAGACTCCACTTACTTGAGGAGTTTGCATGGGTTTTTTTCAGGCTCTCCTTAAGCAGGTGAAATGCAAATGTATCAATATTTTGGAGAGTTTCTATGATTATTTCGACAGTTCTTTGTAGCTTTGACCATCAGGTGCCATGGGACTGGGAAGTGCAACAGAGTAACTTGATGGCAGCAAAAAAATGAGTTTCTTGCAGTCCTGCTTATCTCCTGTATGAGGCTGGCTAAGAGATCCCGACCCTTTTCCCTGCCCTAGCAGCAGCTGGCTGTGGCTGTGCAGCTGCACAGCTCTTGCAGTGGGACAAGGGCTGACTCCATCCTGGTTGTGCAAAGGGTTTGCATACTGGATGAACTACAGCTGCAACCCTCTCTTGTTTCATAATCATGAACGAATTTATAGTCATCCAAGTAGGTCTGAGGATAATTAGCCAAGTGGAAATGAATGTTTCTAGCAAATAATTCATGTGCTTAAAATCCCTACTTGTCCCGTGTGTTTGACTTGCTGATGCCCCTTAGGAATGGGAGGAACTGCAGGTGTTCCTGTCATCTCTCCGCCTCTGGAGGGAGGGAGAAGTGAGATTTCAAAGGGGGAGTTAAACCACTGGTTATACTAAAGTCACAAAAAATCTGTGCCTGTAGTGGAAATATCCACATTTCCCTCTTATTTTCAAAATCCTTCCAGGATTTCATTCTTTCTGGCAGACTGTGTTAGTCAAACGAGGTTTTTCTCTATTCTCTGAAAGATCTTTTGTTTTACTGCTCTGTCATTTGAGGAAAAAACACTTCTCCATAACAAGTTTTCCTTGAATTGGTTTGGCTTGATTTTTACTTCATCTTCAAACCCACAACAAAACTTTTACCCCAGCATAACCAATTTTCACGAAGTTCCCTATGAAATACAGGGCAAGCTGTGTTGTCTGCATGCTGTGGGAGTGGGAAATGGAAGACAGCCAGTCATTAGCAAGGTCTAAAACCTGTGTGGGACTCAGGTTCAGCAGCTGAGTTCGTGGAGTGCACTGTACTATGAGATGGGAATTGTCCATAGCAGGCTGTAGAGCACAAATTTCCATCTGCAGCCAATTCCAAGGCGTCCATACATTGCTGTTTCAGCCCGTTCTAGCATGTGTGATGTATCATGGCTGGGATTGCTTATGGAAGCTGCTGGGTGCCTTTGGAAGCCAGATTTTTTTTGGGATCGTTCCTTCCCCAAAAATCACAACTTTGCTCTGATCAAAGTTTAAAAGGAGACTGCAAAAAGCTGTGAACTAATCTGTAAAGTCGTGGCTTGCTTCTCTTTCACCTCCTTGCTCGGGACACGTCTCAAGTGTGAAGCTGGCATTTGTATGTGTAATGCCTGTGCCCTGCGGGAGGCATCCCTTAAGTGAGTCAGGAATTTGTTGTGTGCCTGCTTAGCACACTGCAGCCATGCCTGCCCGCTCCTGCCGTCCTCAATTTCCATTTGTGCCGCTGGGAAGAGAGAAGAAAGCTCTTCCCCTGGTGCTGTCACAAGTAATATGCTGTCCAGACTGGCTGCATGCAGGAAGAGAGGGAATGCCTCCCCTCCCCAGGGCTTGTGCCATTCCGTGGGGTGCTGATCAGCATCCATGCTGACCTGGATACCTGGGAATGACACAGAGGACATGAACTGAAAAAAAACCCTTTAAGCGTCATACTGTGGTCACTGGTTGTTCCAGGAGTGGTTGGAACCCCGTGAGCAGGGATTCCACACACCCCCATGAATATTTACAGAATTGCTGAGTTCCCTCATGCTGCCAAAGTTTGAAGGTAACTCACCAGAACGTTTTTAGGCTTGTTCTGGAAGCTGGAAATTCAGCTACACTCCCAGAAAGCTTGAACTCATACCTGGGGGTTGAGTTGGCAAGTGTAAAGAAGGGTTCAAGTTAGTTGGCTGATCCATTGGAGAGGTGCTCTGGTTTTTTACAGCTATTTATGCAAGAGTGTGGACACATGTATATACACATAAAGAAGAAATATGGGCTGTTCCCTTGGCCTCATCCCACTTTCCATGAGCAGAAGTGTTGCCCTGGAAGCTGTAACCATTCACATCTCACAATCTGCCACCTGTCAAAGCAATCTGAGATTTGCTGGTGACAACTGAGTGCTGATGTCTGCCATCCTTGCCCTGCAAATAGCCGAGGCATTCCAAGTCCCAGGCCCCTGGCCCTTGCGTCAGCTCTCCTCCCTGGGATTAGTTCAAACTCAGCCAATCACCCAGTGGCCATTTAGAGTGATTCACTCTTAGCAGTATCTTCAACACTCACTGAAACTTCAGGGGGAAAATGAGTCATTTCACATTATAGAAAGTCATATCTTGCTCTTGGTATTTCTATGTATACGTGAGTGATAATCATTTATTTTTAGATCGATTTCTACAGCATAAATGCTGCTTCCTTTGATAAAGGCCGTCTTGAGAGCCACTGCTAATATTCTGCTTATTGCAGAAAAGCTATAGGAGTTCATTTATTTATTCATGCGGTTGAATGACAGGGAGCCACAGCAGTGGCTGATTGTTGGGAGTCAGCCTGCAGACAGGGGCCCTGTTGCTAGGCTTATCTGCCCAATATGTGTTCAATAATGCAGTGAAATCATCCCCTTTCTGGCATTTGCTCGCTGCTTGAATCACTCGGGTCTGCCTCCGAGAACGTCTGGCGATGACGCAGAAAATCCTGGCTTTTCAGGGAGAGCCATTAGACAAGGTATTTGTCACGGTGTCCTGGAGAAGATCTTGGCACTGGATAACCAAGACCAAGCAAAGGGATAAAGCAGAGCCTCAGGCCTCATTAGCTGCTGTCAGCATCCCAAGGAGCCAAAGCGTTCACCACAGCAGCTGTGGGTGGATGTGGTTTTGGTCCAAGCGCACCCACTGTGCCTGTGCCACCCACAGCCCGTCTGTGTTGGGACCTGTGGCTGGTTTGGGATGTGCCAGGCCTGATATTGCACCCAAAAGCTTCATCTGCAGCACCCTCTAGGAAACAGCCTGGCTCTTTCTGTGTCTAATACAGCAGCACTCCTGCCTTGGGGTCACCTGGCCTTGCTTCACCCAGTTTCACCCATGGTAGGTCCATCCCCTGCCGAGCCTGTGTGAGGAGGGCAGCACAAATTCCTTGGTAATTCCCAAGGGATCCAGCTCTTGGGCAAGCACAAACTTCCATCACCTTCTCATACATCGTCAGAGAAAAGCAGGGAATTCCATCTGGCCAAGAGAAGCATTTCAGAACCCTGCCTGAAGGGACATGGGACAACTTTCTGCTGCACTTCAATATCTTTACAAAAAAATCTCTTGAGTTTTATACACATATGTGTGTAAATGTATGTTCCCATTCCAGATAACATGCAAAATTATATTTAAAAATCCAAATGCATAGCTATGTGTCACAGAGAGGAATTTTGCAATTTGTTGAGATTTTGCTTGCTGCTCCCGCACCCCCAAACTGAAGAGGGTTCAGTATAATTCCACAGTGAAGCAGCTTTCAGCCCAGGCTGAGGTAATTTTATTAATGAACCTAAAATAACAGCAACCTTTACATGAGGGGATCTGTGTGGCTCAGTAGCCAGTCACTGAACACCCGGGGGAGTCCCCCCTGTGCCCATCTGCCCCCTCAGCAGCCCCTCTGGAAGCAGGGATCAGTCCCTCCAGGATCCCATCTCACAGACCCCAGCAGGAAATGTGTTCCCACAGTTTGAAGCCTGGCCCCTGGGGTTTGGGCTGTGTCCCTGCAGAGGAGATGTGCAGTGTCCTCAGGCACAGAGGGGCGAGCAGGGGGAAGCTGTGGATGAATTCCTGGCTCCTCCCAGGACAGCACAGTGGGTGGAGTTGTCTCCTGTGCCAAGATTGGCCCTGTGTCCTTCTCATTTGAGCCTCCTGCCCTGTAGCATATATTTTTTGGGAAATTCCAAGTGCCTTTGCCCTTCTGTATGGAGATGTTTTTCCCTCCCCACTCCTCTCGTGCCTCTGCCCTGGCCTGCAAGGCCAGAGTTCATCCCTGCTCTGGAGCCTCTCTCCGGGTCTTGTTCTCCAAGAAGCTCCCCAGAGACAGTTCCCTCTGTAACCAATAAAACCTGGTCCAAACTGTGACTTGCCTTCCTTCCCATCCTCCAACTGTTAAATGCAATTTTGGATATAAACTATCCAGATTAAAGAGACAACTGAGACATTTTACTATCATGCTGGCTCCTAAGTTAGATAAATACTATAAATTGTGGAGCCAGACTCAGCTCTGACTTGAACTTTCACATAAAGCTTTAGTTTGATGTTGAAACAAGGTGACACTCCAATTTCAAGAGTACTGATTTATCCCCTATTGGTATTTATGTAAAGAGAGTTCAGCTCATGGCCTTCTTCCTGCATCATGGAAATACTGCCAGTGTGACTCCAAGTGGTGTTTTCCTTCCCTGTCTTTCACTGTTCACCAAATGTTTGCAGGGAGAACGGGGCTCAGGCAGCATCTGTGTAGGAGCTGTGTGAGCACAGATGTTACACCACTTTGGCTCAGGATGACAGATAATTCTGATAATTATCAGAAAACATTTCTAAGTAACAGGCTCATTGTCTGCTCTATTTAAAATGATTTCTGGCAAATGATCATATCACAGGCAAAAGACCAACCATCTTCCTATGGCAGGAGAGATGTGTGTGATGAATATGCATGGGAAGGGCCCAAGCGAGGATCAAGTCTGGGAGATGTCTGTCTCCTTACAGTGAAGCTTTCTTGCTACCTTACAGAGAAAATAAGGAAAACCAAGGGAAAAGGCAGGCTGTGTATGATGGAAGATGTGTCCCTGAAATGTGGCATTCAGCGGTTTGGCTGTTTTTACTGCAGCAGCAAAACGTTCTCAGCTGGCTTAGGAGAGGAAATAAGGCAAGTACTTTGCATGCCTCCATTAGGACATATTTATGTTTTATGTGACTGGATGACATAAACCACTGGTTCTCATCTCTTTCTGGAGCTGTGAAATCTGGCTGCGTTCATGCTGCACCAGGTCTGCTGGAAGTCAGCACATCAGTGAGGATCTCTGTTGTTTGGCAACCATGGCCATAGAAATTACCAAAACAGACAGCACAGTGTAGTGCTGCTTGATATTTTCCCTGCCTGCAGTCCAGCTGCAGAGCACACTTTCTCATTCTCCCTCTCCAGAACTTCTGGCAGAGACAAAAGCTTTTCAAATCTTTTAAATTATTGCTTTCGTAGTCTTCAATGTTTTTAAATCCTTCATGCCTGGAACATGTTGCCCAGAGAGCTGTGGATGCTCCATCCTAGGAAGTGCTCAAGGCCAAGCTGGCCAGGGCTCTGAGCAACCTGGTGGAGTGGAAGGAGTCCCTGCCCATGGCAGGGGGCTGGAACTGCATGATCTATATTCCAACCCAAACCATTCTATGATTCTGTGATGATTCTATGATTCTAACATCACCTTGCTTGACCTTTGTATGATGGAAGACTTTGAATTTTATCCTCCAGTTCCAAAAACCAAGTGAGCTTTTGGTTGAACAGCATCTTTTGTGGAAGTTTTGCCAGATGTAAAGGAATCGAGTAATAGCCTTGCTAATGAGTCCCTTGACTGACTGTGCACTGTGTTGGATGTCTGCCAGAACAGTTTTCCTCAGTTCAGTTTCTCTGCTCCCTTTACCAGTCCTTTGCCTGCTTTGATAAAGAACCATCTCCACTTTGTACAGCTCCCTTGGCAAGGCACCTGGACACTTCCCTCTGGGGAGCTGGTAGAGATCCTGACTGAGCTCTAATGGGTGACAACCTTTGACAGGGACCTATTCCCACCACAGCTTGACAGATCCAGGTGTGCTTCTGTGACTGGAATTCCACAGAAGGCTCCATGGCCATGTGCAGGCTTGTGTTCTTAGGGCTGGCCCTGGGAGGTGCTTACCTTGTCTGTGTGGTGTGAACACGCTCACCTCCCATCAAAATATCTGCTGGTGGAGGACATTCCGTGTCCCTCAGGAAACTTTGGATGATCAGCTTGTGTAAAAGGAGTTTCCTGACACCTGGAGTGACCTGTCCCTTCCTGGCAAAGGGCTGCTGTGTTGCACAGGCCACCCCAGGGCTTGCCTCTTGGCCAGCCAGCAGACAATCTGAAGATAATTAGGGAATCTTGGGCAAACTACAGATGATTTGTTGGGCAGGTGTGATGGAGTAATATGAAGGAAATGGAAGGCAGGAAAGAGGACAGTATGCACTTGGAAATCATTTGTGTTATTTATTTAAGTATATCTTGTTTGTTGTTTTTTGTTGTTTGGGGTTTTTTCTTTAAAACAACTCTGAAAGTCTGAAGTGCAAAGAAGCATGATGTATTTATCAACTGCAGAACACAGAACTGTTTGTTGACCTGTGGCATTTTTAGCTTCTGCTCCCTCAAGCTGCTGCTGAGACATTGAGAAATACTTGTTTAGTGGCCTTAGAGTTGTGTAAATCATTTTAGTCAACAAACTTGGCTGCTCTGTCAAGTTAAGGTGACCTTAAAATGCAGTAACATTAGACTATTTGTTTTTGAAATGTTAATGTAAGTACTTTTGCATATAAACAAGAAGCAGCTATAAAAAAGACTCAGTCAGTCCTGAGTGTGCAATAGTGCCCTTTCCACAGGGACAACATTTTCCAGAAAAAAACCCTAAATTACCATCTGGCTGAAGCCTGTGGAAATATTTCCATTTACTTCAACCAAACCAAGATTTGGCACAACACCAGAATAAGTTTTGGGTGTCCACATTACCTATCTCTCCCAGATGCACAGACATGAATGTTGGCCCTCTATATTTATTATTAACGTAGATCCCCAAGCACTCTTAAACTCTATAATCAGAAAATGAAGGTGAAATCCCTAAAGCTCTCCCATTAGTTCAGAGCTCCTTTTTCCCATGAAAGACAATTGCCTG